TCAATTGTGGCTTTAAAGTTTGTGTTCTTAGGTTAAACCAGACTTAGCTTCCAATTTGTGCTAACAATATTTTAGTAAAGTAGTGCAAAGCTACACCACTTGGTGGTGTTACATGACCTGATTGTCAAAAATAACAAAATAAAATGGCTACTATTGATTTGTAATAAAATCCACCAAAAAGCAATTTCAGTTTCATAAAACAAGTATTACTGCATCATTATCTTTCATGTACATTTGAGACACATATGACAGTATCACTGAGTTTTTACATATACATTTGATAAGCATGCTCATTTTAGTAGGATGTCACAAATCTTTTCTATGGCTGTACTGGAAAGTAACTTTTCTAAAATAAAAATCAATGTTGTTTATGATAGTTCCAGTTAAATCAAGATAAAACAAACTTTGCCACGCTGAGAAATATTCAAGGACTCCATGCACCTTTAAAGCTGCAGATGGAATTCAGAGCAGTGAAACAGGTAGGCATTTTTATCCAACTGGTATAACTTAAACCACTTGAAAAAAAAAAAATTTATCTTGGAACGTGCTTTCAGAGGGACATCTTTCTTTATTGAAATACCTTATGTTTCCAGAAGAAATTCTTCCACTGGACTGTTTTTATTAAAACCAACCAAACACTGCAATGAATAGTTTCCAGAACAGTCAATATGCTAAAGCATTTCAGCTGTAGTTCTTTTATTGGTTACTTGGTGAAGTGGTAACTGCTCTAGATTTTCTGTGGACTAGCTTCCTGTAAGCCTTCAGAGAAAAGCAGGAGGAATTGAGTATTAATTCCTAAAATTAATACTCTCCTCTGTGGAATGTATGACCTTCATGGGGAGGAATCTCTGCACTTGTGGGGTAAAGAGACTTAGAGGTCTGAAGGAGGTAGGGATTTGGGAGTGGGTATAGAGGTAACATGAAACCTGAAGCAGAGAATTTGCTATGTGCTTATTTTGTTCCGCAGCCTTTCTTGTAAGATCAGGGGAGGTCTACACGGAGTTACATTCAGAGGTTTTAACTCCTATTTGGGAAGCTGAGTCTCCCTCCTTTTCTTCATCTCCTAGGATGGAGAGTAACTGGAGGGAGGCTGACTTTGTCCCTTAGGAAACATGGAAAACTCATTGGTCTTAGTAAACTTTGTTTTGGCTTGTTGAAGGTTGTCAAGCTATTAAGAGTTGTTCTTCCAAGTGAGTTAGAGCAATTTTATACTCCCTTCCAGTGGATCAGGTGCTACTGAACCACAGTGAGCTGCATTAAACTTGGCAGAAATTACTGGTCCTGCAGATGTGAAAGTCAGAGAGAATGTACGAAAACATCCCTTGATCTCAGCTGGGCTGTCTTGTGAGGAAAAATCTTTTTCCTAACTTATGTTAGGAAAAAGGCAGAAAATGAGGCAGGTGAGGATACCCTGCTACTGTGTCTCCACAGGTATTCTTGGGGAATGGGTGGGCAAAATATGGTGATTAGAAGGTTTTTCACTTCCAGCTTCATGTTAGATATACAAGTTCTCTTCTGGTTTTATTTCACTTTTCTAAAATATAGCTAGCAGCTAAGCATCATGCAGCCGCTTGCTCACTCCCCTCA